CCAGGCCAAATTGGATGCTAGTTGTTCTGCTTTTTCTCATTTTTCCTTATATTTTTCACATGTTGCCAGATGTTATACAAGTTGACTTAGTAAACACTCTTGTTTATGATGAAAATTTCCCGCTATAATACTGAAATAGCGATGTGACAATGTGACAAGTCTATTAGTTCTTCAATCTTTATTAATTTATTAATAATCAATGGAATTATCGATACTATATTACGATTGTACAAATTAAATTCATTCTCATCATGACATGTTAACCTTTCTTTTGTTTGTATAATTAGGTAAAATTAATTTTACCTAAATCTCTATTTATAACCCATGAAAAGAAAATTATCTCCAGAAGAAATTTTTTATTCTATGTAGTTAATTATATGCTATTTTCCGATGTTGAAAGACATCCGGGACAATTATGTATGACTTCATGTATAAATGTGTCACACTCAATACAAAAATGCTTCTTGCATTTGGGACAATTATATCTTCCGCTAGAATCTATTGACGTTATATTACTACTACGTCCAATCATAACTTGCGGTTGAGTTGGAAAGGGCATTTGACATGAGAAGCAATGTGTTGTAAAAGCACTATGGTCCGAAATTATATACATGAGATCTTTTTGAAAGTTATCATTAAACAAAATATTGTAAGTTAGATAAAGAGGACAAACCTGCCCCAAGGAACCTCTTCGAAATTTGCAACCGGAAATAGGTGGTGATATGATCGTGCTAAATGAGGGCTTGACACTAAAGTCAATTCACATATTGGGCAATCGGTGGGTAAATCACATATTTTTGAATTACATCGAGCGCATATATAACCACCGGAAACAGGCTTCGAATGGCTGTGCAATCAATACTACAAATCTGTCAAAGATCACTTATCCCTTTAACGACATTCGATATATACAACATAACCATACCAGGCGCATAATGAGGGTACCGACCCATTAACCCCCCTTGGAAATCCCATAACAACCAATTCAGATTTACTTTTGACAACAGAGACTGGAGGCGGTGGTATTATTTCAAAAAGTAAATCTTTAAAATGAGCTTCGTTAAGAACAACTCC